CAGGCCCCCTCTTTTGGCAAAGGATTGCCATTATCGTATTTTGATGTTATCAATAAAGTGGCCCATATTTAATCCATATTGTTGTCTCGTGTCATTATTCCTGGGTTAATAATTCTACACCCTGATTGGTCCACACTATATTTGGCATTTGTGTGGTCTGCCACAACCATACGGGTGAAAATTGGTCCGTGGAACCTTGTTGCTCAGTATTACGAAGAATGCTTGCACTAAGGACTATGTTTTCCATAATTGTCAATAGTACAGATAATTAGGGATACCTGTGCATTCCCTTCTTTATACTGCTTGATCTGTTTCATCTTTATGTAAATCGGCTTCAGTTCATCATACTTGGTCTGTTAATGAAATAAATCAATGCTTTTGAATTGTGGTGCTGGAGGAGGCTCTTGAGAGTCCCCTGGACTGCAAGGAGAACAAACCTATCCATTCTGAAGGAAATCAACCCTGAGTGTTCACTGGAAGGACAGATCCTGAAGCTGAGGCTCCAATACTTTGGCCATCTCATGAGAAGAGAAGACTCCCTGGAAAAGACCCTGATGTTTGGAAAGTGTGAAGGCAAGAGAAGAAGGGGACGACAGAGGATGAGATGGTTGGACAGTGTCACCGAAGCTTCCAGCATGGAGGCAGTGGAAGACAGGAGGGCCTGACGTGCTCTGGTCCATGGGGTCACAAACAACAAAGTTCATTCTTGTTCAGTAAATAAGATAATGGAATTAGATAGAGAGAGATTTTGCACATTTTCATGGCAGGTGATTATGCAATTCTGTAAAATGTGCAAAATGGCAAAATGAGAACAGTTGCTCTGTTTGTTCTATGACCTAGTAAAGCAGTAGCATTGGATGGGTGTCTTGTCTCTTTGTGATGAATCAGTCCGTGGTGTATTGTGGGTGGGAGGGTTCTGCCTGCCTGCTTGCTTACCTGCTAGCCTGTTACCTTCCTTCCTTCCTTCCTGCCTGCCTCTTCCTTCCTGCAGAAGAAAAGCATTACCATTCAACTGCATGTTTCATTAAAAAATAATAAAATTAGGCACTGGAAAATGGCAGAGAATTTTAATTCAAATATTTTTTTCCATTCCTTCCTTCCTTCCTTCCTTCCTTCCTTCCTTCCTTCCTTCCTTCCTTCCTTCCCCTCTCTCTCTCTGTTACTTACAGTGCTGTTTGTTAGTGTAGCTTCAACAAGGCTCAAAGACATTTATTTGAATAAACACAATTTGTTTTCTAATGTATGTTATCTGTAAATTGTGAAAACCCTTCCTTCCTTCCTTCCCCTCTCTCTCTCTGTTACTTACAGTGCTGTTTGTTAGTGTAGCTTCAACAAGGCTCAAAGACATTTATTTGAATAAACACAATTTGTTTTCTAATGTATGTTATCTGTAAATTGTGAAAACCATGACACCGACATCCCAATCGGCATTGCAATCCCATTGTAGAAGCATAACCTCTCAAGGAGGTTGGAGAGTGTCAGACTGCCAGTGCTATCTAGAAACTTTCTATGGGCACGATTTCTTTACATCCCTATCGAGCTCATAGGGAGTGGCAGCACCCTAAACTTTCTTTCCTATCTCTCAATAGGAGAGATAGGAGATCTATATCAAAGATTGTTTTTCTTTCACTCCTGAATGGTTTTTATTACTTAATAAAGCACAACCTTTCTACACATATCCAATGCTATGGTCCCTAGAAAAGCCTCTACAATGCTGTGGGCTGAGATGTTTGGAATGTCAAACTGCTGCATTTGCTGCTTGTATGCCACTTTCCCCTGGGAGCAAAACAATGAAAATTTAATGTGCAGCATTTGAATTTTGTTCTTCAACTTATTTTTGACAGCACATCAATATGGTGTCTCTCAGTAAGGCTATTTGGTTTGAGAAAACAAAGATTTTGCTTCTAACACTGAGAATCGGAGATGTGGAGAAAGGTCAGTTTGAAACTGGTACATGTTGCCACTCCGTTGTAATGTTTGTTAGCCTGCATTTAAATATGCTGTTCTAAAAAGCACTGGCTGCTTTATATGTCTGCACATTTAGGATTTTAAATGAGTAAGCAAGTTGGGAGTAATTGGGTTGTTAGTTGTCAGAATACAAATGAAGTCATTTTTATCCCACAATTGATTGAGGATGAGAGATGGGGGGAAAGATTGAGAATGCAATAAGGTGAGGTAGAGATACTAACACTGGTCATGTGGTGAGCAGAACGTAAATAAAAAAGACGAAGATGAATAAAGAGCCAAGGATGCAAATGAGGTCCAGGGAGTTCTTTTTCTATGAAGAATCTGATAACTGAAGCTAGAGATGGGTTTAAAATATGTTACATTATACAAAGTGACTCTTTGGTCTACAACTCCAAGAATCTTCCAGTCTTCATGCTGATTAGGGTATGGAGTCCAAAAGGCAAGATATTTCCGGACTTGTGGTCTACAAAAATATAAACTTTTCTCAGTTCTAATAAATGTTTTTGCAAGGATTGGAAATTGAATCACACAACTCACTGTCAAGTCTGACTTAAGTCATACTGGCAAATGGACTTGGCCTCAACTTTTTCTTTTTTCTTTTCCAAAGATGCAGACTTGACTCATGACATGGACCCATTTTCCAAGTCGTGTTTTCAAGTCCCTATTCTTTTAATGGACACTCACAGGAGAGGCAGGCAAACAGCAGAAAACAGCAGAGGAGAAGGTTGCGACGGGGAGGGAGGGTTTTTTGAGAGAGTGGGGTTGTGGAAGGATGAGGGAAGGGAAGGCAGTGTTTCCCCCCCTAGTGGCCACAACTCTTAGCACAAGGCTGGGCTAGGCAAGGAGACGAGGCAGGAAGGAGGAATATATACAACTGTTCAGCATTTTTCACACTCTTGTGTTTTGTCATTAGCTTGGGGTGATTAGGCTGGGGGATTGGCTTAAGCTTCAATAACAAGTTGTTCTCTATGGTTCACAAACCTCAGGTCTCCCCACACACAGACCTCTACTCACTCACTCCCTTTTTTGGGTGGGGGGAGCTTCTTAATAGGGATTTGAGACTTTAACTTGAGGCTTGGGATTCAGGACTTGAACCCAAAGACTTGCCAACATCCCTGTATATTCGTGCAAATATTTAAAAGAGGTAGCAGCTAGGGTTGTGTGTGTGAACAGCTGCTGCTTTGAATCTGTCCAAATTATTTTCCTACAAATTTCTTGCACATCAATAATAGGAAATCTAACAGGATGCTCAGCAAGACATTTTGCAGGAATCATAAAGAAAAGGTACTTTAGTGATGCATACCATGTCACACTTCATTCCCACTCATCTGACCCATTTCATTGGCTTACGACCCCCAGCAGCCTCCAAGTGCAATTCAGAATGACACTTCTTTGTCAGCAATTTATTTCCTATAAGAATGTGAAGAGCTTTGCCATAGTTCTGGAGTATTCCTTCAAGAGTAATCTTCTTTTTTATCCTGACACCCTCAGGTATGACTAACAATCGAGATTAGAAGCAGATTCAGCCCCCCTTTGTGAGTATCTTTAGTGTTACAGAAGCTATTATGTCACATTTTTAGGATTGTGTCTATTTGTGAATCAACCATGTACATAGAGTGAATCCTATGTGTCCATGTTAAATTCCATTGTAACAATCTGTGTAGTTGGGTGGGAAAGACCTACTGACACGCCACACACATAACTGTCCGTCTGTCCGTCCATCCGTCCACCTACCTACCTACCTACCTACCTACCTACCTACCTACCTACCTACCTACCTACCTACCTACCTACCTACCTACCTACCTACCTACCTACCTATCATTAATATGTGTTATAATACCATGGGGATTACAATGTCATCTGGTTGTGTATTTGCATGTAAGGGGGGGCTGACATGCTTATCAAGGCAACTTAATTGGTAAGGAGAGGGTGGCCAAATTAGTCTGTTGCAGCAGAAACAACAAAAAGTTTTATAACATTTCTTAAAGACCAAAACGATGTATTGAAATAAGTTTTTGTGGAATGCAGCTCATCTGAAGCTCTGAAAACACAGATGCTGGATATGAAACATGGAGATCTAAATTAAAATTTATGTTCCACCTTAAATGGAATTTGCATTAATCTCTATCAAAATAGTCTGATGAAAAATATTACAAACGAAATGTCCAACCCTCCTGTAACCTCCCTATTACAGGTAACAGGGAGCACAAACAGGCCATGTCATCCCGGTCATTTCAATGTAATGTGTAATCTGGGGTGGATAAATTTTTCTTGTGTGTCACTTTTTTTTAAAAAAATCATTATTGTTTTCCATTGAATGTATCAAGAGGAAGTATTTGTACAGCATGCCCTGGGGGTGGATAAATTTTTCTTGTGTGTCACTTTTTTTAAAAAAAATCATTATTGTTTTCCACTGAATGTATCAAGAGGAAGTATTTGTACAACATGCCCTAAAACAAACTGGACATGAAATTCTATTTCAAAATACTGAAATACTGGACAACACCAGCAATCGTTATGTCAGACTGCACAGGGAAGCCATTGAAATCCACAAGCACCAGCAGAACTTCAACAAAAAAGAGCAAAGTGTGAAGCTCAACAGAACTTGGCTCCCAGCTCTCAAAAATACAGTGGTCAACGAACTCTACCCAGCCACAATAACAGGAGATCACTACACACAAAAGACCAGCTAATCACACCCATCAACCACAGTGACAGATAATCTCTTCTCCTTAGCACAACAATACACCCACAAGATACACTAATCACCCATCGACAGAAAAAGACAAAAGCCTATCTCACAGCCATAAATACTGCACTCCCAAGTAAACTAAGCCAGAGCACAGAGTGCTGTCCTCTGAAGATACCGGCCACAGAGACTGACGAAACGTTAGGAAGAACAACCTTCAGAACACGGCCAAGAAGCCCGAAAAACCCACAACAATTATTAGATCCCGGCAGTGAAAGCCTTCGTGAATATATTGGTACAACTTTCTCAAATAAACCAAATTCTCACCCCTCTGCACTGAACAAAGTAAATAAGATTAGCTGTTACCTGTATGGAGGTAACTACTGTATACTTTCCTTGACTGTGAAGAAATTGCTGCAATGTCAGGTTTAAAAATTGAATATACAGAATGTTAAAACAATCAAGGAAACAGAAAAGAAGCAACCCTGGAAATGAGCATTGTGCTTAAGAAAATGAGATCTGAACAGACTAAAAGTCACTGCAAAACAATCAGCATTCTAGCCAAATCTGAAGGCAAGGTTAATGTAAAGTAACATTGTCTTGCAAACGAAACCATAACAACGAAACACAAACCTATTCCATACTTAGCACTTAAGTGTGGGTTTGAATGAATGATAGGAAATGCATAACACTGGGAAAGAAAACCACAACAATGTGAGAAAAACTCCTGAGTTTTAAAATGCAGATAAAGCAAATTGGTACCAGAAGAAATTAGTTACCTGCACTTTTCACTCATGGCATTTTGCCTATTCAGTAAAACAGTAAAAGGTAAAGGTAAAGGTTCCCCTTGACAATTTTTGTCCAGT